ACGCAAAGACACCAAAGAAATTAAATGGAGAAAAGAAAATCTTGTAAATAAATGATGATGTAATAACCAGAAAAATTGGGGAAAAAGTGGAAGTTGACATCTACACTTCATATCATGAATGTAAATTAAATGAAATGTATCATAAATCTCAACATAAAAGCTAAAACAAAGTTTCTAAAACTGAAGATCATCTTTATGATATTGGGGTAGACAAAAATTTTTTAAAAGGGCACAAAAAGGCACTAAATGTAAAAGAACAAAATAAGTAAGATGGACTTAATAAAAATTAAGAACTTCTCTCCATCAAAAGACATCATTAAAATGAAAAGCAAGTCACAGACTGGCAGAAAATACTGACAAGACATATATCCATCAAATACTAACAAAAAGACAACCCAACTGAAAATAAAATATGCACAACACTTGAAGAAACACTTCATAAAAGAAGATGTAGAAATGACTAATAAGTACGTGAAAAACACAGGGACATATAGGAGTTCTATAATGAAAATTATAAAACACTGATGAAAGAGATTATAAGAAAACTTAAATAAACAGGAAGATATTCACAGATTTGAGGATTAAACATTGTTAAGATGTTGGTTTGGTCCTCTCAGTGCTGTTCTAACAGAAAAAACCACAAACAGGTGGTTTGAAATAAACCGAGATTAATTCTCTCACAGTTTTGGAGGTTAGAAGTCTGAGTTCAAAATGCCAAGTTCTAGGGGCTGCATGAAAGCCGCTCGACCTTGCGCTTCGGCTCTGCCTCTTGCTCCTGGCCCACTGTAACTAGAGGTGTGTCTCTTCACTCGGGCAGCTGTTGGCTGCTGAGGCTAACAAGCCCCTGGTCGACAAGTAAATTAGTATAGCCCCAAGATTACCAAACAACACGACAGGCCACTAATTTATCCAGAAACTGTCCAAAGACTGACAGGCAATCACGGCAGGCTGCTGAATGATGACTTGGCTACATGCAGGATTCAAGCATGTCAAAAGCTACCAAGACCTGTCTTAATGCTTCGTAGATACTGGAAGCAGATCGCATCCCTAACTCAGCTACTGAACTACTCACAGTAGATTCCACCATGGAGTTGATTACCAGTCTCATCATGGGAAATACTACATCTAGCTTCCCAGCCACTCAAAACTAGGCCCAGCCAAGTTGACACACATCTTAACTACCATAGATGCCAATACTACCCAAAACAATCTATAGATTCAATTCAATCCGATCAAAATTCCAACAGCTTTCTTTACAGAAATAGAAAAAATAATCCTCCACTTTATATGAAATGGCAAGAGGCCCTGAATAGCTAAAACAAAGTTGAAAGAGAAGAACAATATAGGAGGAGTTATACTTCTTAATTTTAAAGCATACTATACAACTACAATAATGAAAATAATGTTATACCAGCCTGGTACTGGTATAACAATAAGCATATAGACCAATGGAATAGAATTGCGAGTCCAGAAATAAACATATACATCTTCGGTCAACTGATATTTGACAAAAGGTGCTAAATCCATTCACTGAGTTAAGAGTCTCTTCGATAAATGGTTCTGGGAAAACTGGATTTCCACATGCAGAAAAATGAAACAGGACACCATACACAAAACACATTTAAAATGGATTAAGGACCTAAATGTGCAAAGTAAAAGAATAAAATTCTTAGAAGATAAGTAGGAGAAATGCTGTCAGGCATTATTATTTAATATAAGAAAAACACAAACTGCAAAAGATGAAATAAATAAATGGGACTTCATAAAAATTAAAAACTTTTGTTCACCAAAAGCCTTTACCAGAAAAGTGAAAAAGACAAGCTAACAGTTGGGAGAATATTTTCCAAAACCATATATTGACAACTAAACAACAAAAAACAAATAAGCCAATCATAAAATGAGTAAAGGACCTGAATAGACATTTCACTAAAGAGGACATTTAAATGGCTACCATACATATGAAAAGATGTTTAGTGTCATTAGCCATCAAAGAGATGCAAATCAAAACTACAATCAGATATCATTTTGAATCAAAACCACAATGAGATCATTTCACTCCTACTAAAATAGCTAGGGGCTCTGGTAGCATAGTGCCTAAGGCACTTGACTACTAACCAGAAGGTTGGCGGTTCAAACCCACCAGCCACTCCTCAGAAGGAAGGTTGGGCAATCCTACTTCCGTAGTGATACTGTCTCAGAAACCCAAGGAGGGGTCGCTATGAGTCGGGGTCGCTATGAGTCGGGGTCGCTATGAGTCGGGGTCGCTATGAGTCAGGGTTGACTCGACAGCAAATAACTACAACAACATAGCTAAGATAAAACAACAAAAACAACAACAAGATAATAACAAAATTTTGTAAGGATGTGAGGAAATTGTAACCCTTATCCATTACTGGTGTAAACTGAAAATGATACAGCTTTTGTGGAAAACATTGTGACAATACCTCAAAAAAAACTGAAAACAGAATTACCGTATGACCCAAAAGTTCCACAAGGTATATACCCGAAAGACGTGAAAGCAGCAGAGACTCAAAAACAGAGCAAATGGTGGGAACAACCTAAATGCTCATCAACAGATGAACAGATAAAATGTGGTATATATATACAATGGAAAACACTCAGCCAGTAGGAGAAATGAAGTCTTGATACATGCTACAGAATGGATGGAACCTGAAGACATTATCCTGAGTGAAATAAGCCAATCACAAGAGGACAAATACTATATGATTTTACTTATATAAAAATACAAGAAAAGGTAACTGTATAGAGACCAAAGTTTATTAGTGGTTACCAGGAGTGGGAGAAAGGGGAAAAAGAGGGTTTAATAGTAACGGAAAAATCACATTAAGGATAACTGCATAGCTGATTATTTTAATTGTCAATACATCGTACAACTATAAAAAGTTATATTGGCAAAAGTTGTGTGACAGACATATTTATAACAATGACCAAGGAAAAAGAAAGAGTAGCTGCTGAGGCCACTTACATATAATCAAACAGCTCATGGGATTAGGTTCCTTGGTTTGGAGATTTAGGATCATCGTTTCATGGAACATCCAGGTTAATTGGCCTACTACCATGTTTAGTGCTTCTGTTCTACCTCCTAGTTCGTTGAGTAGTGTCGGGGGTCTTAAAAGCTTGCAAGTGGCCATCTAAGGCACAAAATTGCTTCATCTAAAGCAACAGAGGAAGAAGGAGTCAAGAACAGGAAGAGGATAAGGCAAATGTGGATAACTGCCTCTGTGAACAACTGCCTCCTTTACCACGAGACCAGAAGAAATGGATGGCGTCCGGCTACCGTTACTAAACATTTTGATCCAATATTCCATAGAGGGATCCAGATCAAAAGGGAGAAAACACAGAATAGAATTTCATATTCTCATAGACTCTAGAATTCCTGAAGTAATGGAGGATGGGTAAACTCTAAAAACTACTGCCCTGGCATAATCTTTAAACCTTAAACCACAAATATCCCCTGAAGTGTTCTTAAAAACAAACAACAGTTTAGCTTAATTAGTAAACAATGTCCGCCCTGCATATTATGCTCTTTGAAGATCTATCTGTATGGGATCAAACTGACAATAGTAAGTCAAAAGATTAGACAGGAACTTTAGGAAGGAATGAGTTTATATCAATGAGGGAAGAATAATTCAGAAACAGAGGATGAGAATGGTTGTACAAATCGAAGAATGTAATCAATGTCACTTAACTGTATATGTAGAAACTTGGATAGGTATATGTTTGGCTGTATATATTTTCAACAACAACAACAACAAAATTGTAACAAAAAACAATGAGATTCAATTCCATATCCCCTAGAAGGGGTAACCTCAGTAAGAATGACAACGTCAAACACTGGTGAAAATCTGAATAAGACCCGCAACTCTTATACATCACTGGTGGGAGTATAAAAGGGTACAATCACTTTGGAGAACTTTTTGGCAGGTTCTTAAATACATATATATCCTATAAATCAGCAATTCCACTCCTAGGTACCCAAGAGAAATAAAACATGTCCTCTAAAAGACCTATACAATAAAATGTGTTGTATACATTTACATACAATGGAAAATTATTCATCTGTATAAAGGAACGAAATTCTAAGACATGCTTTAATACAGATAAACCCTGAAAATATGCTAAATGAAATAATCCAGTCACAAAGTACTGCTTATTATATAATTCCACTTATGTAAAATGTCCAGAATAGAAAAATTCATAAACATAAGAAGTAGATTAGTGGTTGCCAGAGCTTGGGAGGATGGAGACTGACTGCAAACAGGTACGGGGTTTCTTTTGAGAGTGATAGAAATGTTCTGGAATTAGATAGTGGTGATTGTTGCATGATTCTGTGATAAAATAAAAACCACTGAATTGTACATTTTAAAACTGAGTTTTATGGTACGTGAATTGTATCTCAATAAAGTTACTATTTTAGTGAAAGACTTGTACATGAATGTTTCTAACAGCTTTATTCACAATAACCCAAAACTGAAAACAATCTAAACATCTATCAAGAGGAGAATGTCTAAACAAACTGTGGTATATTCATACAATAGGATACTACTCAGAATAAGAAAAGAGAAAAGTGATACACATAAAAAAATGAGTAAATCTCAAAAGGGTCATTTAAATGAAAGAGGCAAGACACAAAAAGGTAGTGTACGATTCTATGAAATTCAAAAACAGGTAAAGCAGGGTGGACAGGCTGAACTATTAGGTATGTCTATGAAGCAGGGAGTGTACCCCCCCCAAAAAAAAACAGGTAAAGCAAATCTAAGGTGATAGAGATCAGAACAAAAATTGCTCATGAGAATTGACAGAAATGGATAATAAGGGAACTTTCCATAGTAATGACAATGTTCCATATCTTCATTGGGGTGGTAATTATACAAGTGCATATCTTTATCAAAACTCACCTAATTATATAATTAAGATTTGTGCATGTGACTATATGTAACTCTTACCTCAATTAAAGAAGAAAACAGAAGTTTACATACTTTTTACAATGAATAGCAGGATGTTTTCTACTTGATTCTCCAATTAAGATCCAGTATTCTACTTCTTGTGATGAGAGGGGACCCCTGCTAAATATAAAATATATTCACAGTACACTTAATAAAGGTAATTTGCTCCCTTGAGAATACTGCTTCAACTATATTTTAATAAAGGGAGCTCTGGTGTTGTAGTGCTTAAGGCATCTGACTGCTAACCAGAAGGCTGGCAGTTCAAACCCACAAGACACTCCCCAGAAGGAAAGTTGGGCAATCTACTTCCGTAGTGATACTGCCTCAGAAACCCAAGGAGGTGTTGCTATGAGTTGGATTCAACTCCACAGCCGTGCATTGCACTGCATATTTTAATAAGAGATACACTAAAGTTTATTCAAAGATGGCATTTATTAAAGCTAGATTAGATATTAGAGTTAAGGCTTAGGCAAATTTCTGAAGGCCATTAAAGAGAAAGCATAAATTAAATTTAGGTCTTAATTATCTTTACAAAATATAAGGCTAAAAATTGTAGTCCATATCTCAGACCCTAGGAGGGAAAAGAAAAAAACCACTCCTAGCATGCCATCAGCATTCTTCACCTACTCCCCTCCTTTCAATGTACACTCAAAAAATTTCAAAAGGCATCCTAAAAATAAAACCGTAAAGCAGTGATTTAGAAGTGCTGGTGTTGCAGTGAAGTGCTCACATATCAACAGAAAGGTTGGCAATTTGAACCCACCAGCTGCTGGGAGAAAGATGTGGCAGTCTGCTTCTGTAAAGATTCTCACCAACCCATGACATCAAGCTGATTCTGATTCATAGTGATACTTTAGGACAGAGTAGAACTGCCATAGGATTTCCAATGCTACAAATCTTTATATAGAAGTAGACTGCCTCATCTTTCTGTGGACTGGCTGGTGGGTTCAAATCACTGACTTATGGTTAGCAGCCAAATGCTTTACTGCTGAACCACCAGGGCTGCTTCCATAAAGATTACAGGCTTGGAAACCCTATGGGCAGTTTTACTCTGTCCTACCAGCATCGCTATAAGTTGAAATCTACTCAAGGCAGTGGACTTTTTTAAAAAAAAAAAAAAAAAAACAGTAATTCACCTGTGGAACTTTAACAAATATTGATGCCCAGATTCCATCCCTAGAAATTCTAATTCAAGCAGGTCTTAGATAAAGCCCAAGAATTTATATATTTTTAAAAGTATCTTAGGTGATTCTGAGGTACAGAAGAGGTGAGCAATTCTTCTCTAAAAAATACAAACTATCTAGGAGTAAAATCCCGTTTTACATTTGACAGTATCTTAAATAAGGTAAAGTTGCAGGATAAAACTATAAAAGAAATATACCTGATTTACAAAAAACTTCACCTCTAGAGAAATGAGTAATGCATTCCAGTATCTGGAGAAACCAAAATGTTTTCCTCTTTATTCACAAATATATAATGTTCAGCTTCCTAGCTCTCCCAGGTCACTCCTGCCTGTCTCAGGATCTCACTCACCCAGTACAGTGACTCAAAGACCACATGGACCTCCAGCTTCAAAGAATCTGTCCTATCCTCAAATGGCCAAACTATGCTTTCTCAACCTGACTGCAGGTTAATTACTGAAAGTGCACTACTGCAATGGATCCACATATGAACAGACCAGAACCTCAGCTGGGTGAGGATAACTATGGCTACTAGTATTTGTACTTTATATCTTCATAAAAGATACTTGTACTCAAAGTATTCACTGTTTCTATTTTCATCATTCTCAACTAGGACACTTTCCTTTGAACCATCTTGGCATTATCTCAACACATCATGAAGAAAATTTGCTAAGGAGGGAAAAAACTATTAACTGTAACCACTCTCTTTTATTTGAAAGACTTTGGTAGCGTAGTGCCTAAGGCACTTGACTGCTAAGAAGGCTGGCGGTTCAAACCCACCAGCCACTCCTCAGAAAGAAGGTTGGGCAATCTACTTCCACAGTGATACTGCCTAGGAAACCCCAGGAGGGGTCGTTATGAGTTGAATCTGACTCAACGGCACTTAACAACAACAACAACATCTTTTCAAAAAATACGCCCATATGTAAAAATACATGGTTAATAAAATACAAACTCTGGATCAAGGAAAGAAAAAACAATCACAGGGTTACTATAATTCCTGTGATTAGAAAAATTTGGCTCCAAGCTTCTTTGTAGCCAGGACAAAAAAGGAACCTTGGTAAATTTTGGTTTTCATTATAAGAAAGAAAAATGTTTTTTTAATTTACTCAACTGTGACAATCTTCTTCACACTAGATTCTGTAATATATTCTTCATGTGTATGATACTGGATAAGGACACTGACACATAATAGGTAAAGTCCTTTCCAACTGTTTTATGATAAACATAGAAGTGATTTTTCACATGGCTTTATCTTGTAATACCTCTAAACAACTGTTTTTAAGTAGGTAATACTAAATAAAGCACAACTGGTTAAATGCAATTCTGCAAAATAAAATAAAATAAGCTAAAATGTTTAAAGAATGTAGGATTTCAGTAGTCTAACTTGATGTAAAGAAAGCAAATCATCAAGTCTCCCAATTTTGAGAGACTAAATATTTATTAAAAGCTTCCAATAACACATTTTACTGGTGAAATATCTACATAAAATATTCAAATGCTTACCTGAATGCTTTATTAGCTTTAACAGGGGTTGCTTCAAACCCAATTGGACAAAAATAATGATTTTGGCAATGATAGATATAAGCCAGCGATTCATCTTTCAATCCATGTGTTAACTTTGACAAGGCCCCTGAAGCTACAAAAATAAAAATGAACAAAACTGAGGGACCATGAAGCCACGTCCATGCTTTACACCAAGGATGGTGTAAAGATCCATATAAGATTTAAAGACAGAAAAAACATTAGTTGGAATAAACTGACATTGCTTGTTGCCACTGAGTCAATTCAGACAAACAGCAACCCTACAGGACATAGTAGAACTGCCCATAGGATTTTCAAAGCTGCAAATCTTTACAAAAGCAGACTGCCACACCTGTCCCCCCACAAAGCAGGTGTTGTGTATGAATAGTTAGCTTTTCATTTAGCAGTCGAGTGCTTAACTATTGCGCCACCAGAGCTCCTTCACACTGACATTACTGGGGCAAAAAATGAGAAGCTTTGATAGATACTTCCGTAGTGATACTGCCATGGAAACCCTGGAGGGGTCGCTATGAGTAGGGTCCGACTTGATGGCACATAACAACAACAACATTGATAGATACAAAAAGTATTAAAAAACTGACTTTCAGCTTTACCCTTTGGACTGAAATTTAAATAAACTGAATAGTAAACTAAACAACTGAAATATTTCCTTACTTACCAAGACCTTCAAATAATACATACATTTGTATATGAAATTTTATTGTGTAAAACCTGGTACCTATTACTTGGTTGGACACATCTGTCACTAAAAGTTTTTTTAATAAGTACCCCAATACAAGCATATTTATTTGTTTATAAATCATATACATATACTATTATATGAATGTATCTTTATAATAGATATTTAAAAAGCAAGAATTTTTAAATTAGATTAAAATAAAGATGTTATAATATTTTCTTCTTCCACAGCTTTTATAGTGCACACACTCCAATTTGAAGACCAAAGATATATATGGATACATATAAAGTCCATATAATTAACACGTTCCAAAAATGTAAACCTTTCCCACTAACACATACTTTAATCTTTCTACAAAAGTTACACAGACTAGGAAAAAAAAAAAAAAAAACCAGAGGGGAAAAAAAAAAAGTTACACAGACTAGAGGAGCAGCTTTCATGAACCAAGTGATAAGATTATCTCTACAGAGATATCACTTCCTAAGATATCTCCTTGTATATTTCTCATAACTATATTAGTTGTAAAGTAATTTCAAAACTAGTACCATAAAAAAATTTTTTATCAGCACTCAGTACTCAAAGCCATTAACCGAGGTTTCATTAACTTGCATCTGCTGGAAGAAACTAAATTATTCATTAACAAAAAGCCCATTAAAACTGGGGATTATAATAATAAGTGAAATAGATAAAAGCTCGCAAACCACAGTTTAAATAATTGACATAGCTGAAGACTACTAAGAATAGCAGGCTTAATACATGTAGCATAGAGGCAAGGAGACAAGAGACCCCATAATCCTGCACACATACACCAGGCACACACACAGACACAAGTATGATCCTCATGGAGACATTTCTGACTTAAACTTTCTTCAAGGTTTCGGCTACACCTTTCCCACAGACTTTTACTCCATGACCCACCATCAGAGAATCACTGTACTGCAAAGGGATCTTTTCTACTAAAATCTCCATTTCATACTGACAAAGGACAAGTAAGTCTCACTCCATTTTTCTGTTGAATTCCCATGTTGATTTAAAACCTGACCTCAAAGGGCACCTCTAAATGAAGAAGTATTAAGAAATAAAATTCAAAAGAGAGTCAACATCTCATTTTCCACAATTGAATTTGATTGTTCAAAAATTCCAGGAGCATACAAATATAAATCTATGGATTTTAACTCCTTATAAATCAAGTAATTACAAAAAGATGCTTATATACATAATTGGCTGAGAAAAATTCTTGAAATCTTTTTAGAACTGTGAAAATGCCAAATAAAAATTTTTCTCAAATAATTTAAGCTTTTAATGAAAGAACTTCTCTTACAATGTTTCACTGGAAATGTTTAGGCAGTTCACACTTTCCTCCTTTCTTAAATCAAATGTAATACAACAGCCAGCTTCCTGATTGTGACCATGAATAATAATTATTTAATGTCCTAGAGTATATTCAGGACTTCAAGAGGGAATGAGATAGGTAAGAACGTTGCCCCCACTAAATATCCCCATCATTTATCTGCTGCAAATACTCTTTACCATATCCCAGTTTTCTAGAAGGCTTAGGAAGTTTTTCTTCCACAGAGTAAAGTTTATGGGCTTAACAGAGTTAGCTGCTACTGAAAGATGTTTTGTTCTCCTAACTTCAAGGTATATAATAAAAACCTAAGTGATTTAGATTAGGGATCAGCAAACTTTTTCTTAAAGGGCCAGAGTGTAGACATTTTAGGCTTGTGTGTCCTTGGCATTACTCATACTACTCAACTCTGCCATTAGAGCACAAAAATAGCCCTACACAAAAGTAGCTATAGTCATTAGATAAGCTAATGAGTATGGCTGTGTTCCAATAAAATTTTATTTAACAAACAGGAGGCTGGTCCATGGGCTGTAGTTTGCCAACCTCTAATTTAAATCAATCTCTACAACCTTTTTTTGACATAAAACTTTTCTGCAATGAAAACGTACAAGGCAGGCTAATCCATTATAAAAGGAGCAAAGCAGAGCTGTAGTGGTCAGAAAGGAGGCCGGGAATGAATCTAGGTGTGTTCAACTTCCTCCCTGACCAGCTCCTTTGGCACCTCCACTGAATTCCTAGGGCTCAACTAAGCATAGTTTGAAAAATCATGAATTTCCAATCAATAGAAAACCATAGTCTTGATAAAAAGGCTGGATACCATCTCCTTAGAAAAACAATAAGAGCAGTTCTCAAACTTGACCATGAAGAACTTGTCAGGAAAACAGATTACTAGTACCCACTCCCAGAATGTCTGATCCAGGTCTAGGAAGGAAACCAAGAATGTGCATTTCTAACAGTTATAAAACGTTCCTGTGCTGGTCCAGTGACCACCCTTTGAGAGCTACTAGTCTAGAGTTAGGATAAAAATTTAATTTTACTCAATAAGTGATTTTTAAGCACTTACTAACTAATATAAGAAACCCTAGTGGTGTAGTGGTTAACGCATTTAACTACTAACAAAAAGGTTGGGAGCCCAAACCCACCAGCCACTCTACAAGAGAAAGAGGAGACAATTTACTTCCACAAAAATTTAAAGCCTTGCAAACTCTATGGGGGCAGTTCTACTCCGTCCAATAGGGTCTCTATGAGTTAGAATCAACTCGATGGCACTGGGTTTGGTTTTCTGGTTTATTAACTATATAAATTACTATAAAACAAAAGACAATGCACAGTACCTCAAGCTGCTCTAGTAAGGAACTTTAATGTAAGGCAGAATAAGACAGTTCCAAAAAAAAGGGTACAAAATTCAAAGGAGAACACCACATCTGGTGTGAGGAATCAAGAAAGGATAGCATTCAAGAGGGAATTTAAAGAAATAGTAGGATTTCAACAATCCAGACAGGAAAAAGTACAAGCAGAAAACAAAACCACTGGAAGGGAAGGGATATAATCAGGGAACAGCAAAGTGACTAGTTCAAGAACACAGAGGGGTATGACAATCAGTATAGAGAAGCCTACCGTAAGGCACCCCCAGAATTTCAGGACAAGGTCAGAAAAAGGTCACCCTCTGAAATAAAAGACAGTAAATACAATATTTAATACAGTAAGGTAGTTATGCAAGAAGTAATTTTGTATATGTTTATTCAATCTAGAAGAGTGTATACCTTATCCAAAAAATCTGAAACTTAAGTGACAAGGCAACCACTACCAGATGTAAAGCTATATAATTTGTATGGTGTAGAGGAAAGAGAATAACAAAAAATTTATTAGCTAATATGCAAATTGTATAACATCTTAAAGTTGGAAGGGACAGGTGTACAAAACTTTTTTTAAATTCCAGAAGAGTGGTTCCTAAATTGACTCTCCCCAGGGTAATTTAATATTTTATTTATTAATTAAATAAATTAATTAATTTATAGATAAACATTAATAAATAAATTGTCTCACTTTTGTAATTTGACTAAATTTGTATATCTTGTTTGTATATCCAGAGTTTCCTTGATATCAGATTTTCTATCATATTAAAATTTCTCTGGGGTTCCATGCTTCCCGACTTCCTTTAATTTTACTGACCCTTCTCTTCAAAGGAGCTCTGGTGGCTCATAAGGCATTTGACTGCTAACCACAAAGTTGTCAGTTCAAACCCACCAGCTGTTCTGCAGAACAAAGATGGGTCAATCTACTTCCGCAAAGATTTACCACCTTGGAAACCCAATGGGGGTCGCTATGAGGTGGAATTGACTTAATGACAGTGGGTTTGGTTTGGTTTCAGTTCTCAAAGATCCTTCCACTCCATCTAGAGGCCCTTGATACTAATACAACAAAAGTCATAAACGGCTCTGATGAAAGCCTCTTATGATCAGAAGGCAGTGAGGTGAGCAAGTAAAAATAATAATGCGTGTTGGGCTATCTAAGGATGTAGTCTCCCAGGATCCTACCAATAATACAATCTCAGGACACAAACCTAAAGTTTATACCACAGCAGTTTCCATTGTAATGGCTGGCTAATTGCCTTCAATGATTCTCTACCTCTAGATATACACTTTGGTCTGAAAAATCCACATTCCATTAGAATTAATAAAAAATAAGTCCCTAGAAATCAGTTGAGAAATGATCCAGAAAAGTTCCTAATTATTTGCTCAACACTATAATGTAGAAGACAATGTTCAAGGTGCTGCTAACATACAAACTTCAACAAAAACTCACCATCTATTGAGAAATTTGAAAAACTGCCAAAAGATTCCAGGAGATGGCAGTAGGATACCAGACATGTGATGAAAAGTAGTGACAGGACTAATTAATCCACACAATGATGTGGATGATTATGTATTTGTTGTTGTTG